TAGATAATGGATGGATGGATCTTTCCCTAATCAGTAAACAGAACAAGTTTTGAACATGTATTCATAATCTGCTTGTGTCTTTGTTACGCCTGTGCAGTGAACAGGACAGCAGAGATGCCTGACATCTGCAGCAACAGAAGCTGTGCAGCTGTGTTTGGTTTCGTCCTCACACCTGAATCTTTGTGTCCTCAGGTGGTCCTGAAGCTGCAAGGTTCTCAGCTCCCCGACAGCAGCCAGCTGCAGCAGTATAGCATCAAATGCGAGGAGGAGGACAAGTTCCTGCTGATCTACACGCTGCTGAAGCTACAGCTGGTTCGGGGAAAGACGCTGGTGTTTGTGGGAGCTGTGGACCGATGCTACAGGCTCAAACTGTTCCTGGAACAGTTCAGTATTCCCGCCTGCGTCCTCAACTCCGAGCTGCCCGTCCAGTCCAGGTTAGAGAAATGTAATAGACTGTACAGAGGTGTCTGAACTTTACTGAACAATATAGTTACACTGCTAAACTGTGCCTGTGTTTCCTCTCACTGTGCTGCAGGTGTCACATCATCACCCAGTTTAACCAGGGATTTTATGACTACATCATCGCCACAGATGAACAGAGTCTGGCCGACCCCACTGCTGCTGTACAGACGACATCAGGCAAAGAGAAAAAGAAGAAGAACACAGAGAAAGGAGGAAAGTAAGTCAGATTACTGATGTTTAACAGTCAGCAGCTGCACCTTCACATTCGAAAAAATAACGAACATCATTAGGTTTCCTCTACAGGTGCAATAATTCTTAAGATAGTTGGCAGCTATTTTGATAGTCAGTTAATCTCTGACTCCAACGTCTGAATCTTTTTCTTTTTAAAGGGCTAAAGATAAGGAGTACGGAGTCTCCAGAGGTGTGGACTTTCAAAACGTCTCCAACGTCGTCAACTTTGATTTCCCTACAACTGTGGAATCGTACATTCATCGAGTTGGAAGGTAAGCGCGGCGCTCTGAGGAATGATTTCATCTTTGATAAAGCTCACACCCTGACAGTCGCTTGCTGAATTTGTAGAACAGCGAGAGCAGACAACCCCGGCACTGCTCTGTCCTTCATCTCCCACACAGAGCTGGATTTGCTGACGGAGGTGGAGGAGGCTCTCACAGGAGGTAACAGCAGCCTCTTTTATTCTAGTTTCAGTCTGATATATTTACATTTGAGTCACTACGTTAATGTTTTAGTCGATGAAAGCTACAGTTGTTCCATTTGACAAAAG